CAAATACTGAGTCTTTGCATAAACTTATTGTAATTGTCAATAAAAGCCTTTGACACTTATGAAATTCTTGTAATTATACTTCAGTATACCATAGTAACATCTGACAAAAAGATCTAAAAACACTGTAGCAGCAGACTTTGTGAAAATTAATATTTGTTTCATTCTCAAAACTTTTGGCCATGGCTGTGTGATTTTCTAATGATCCTGAAGATACTAATTAGCATGCTCAGGTGTTTTTGATTAGGGTTAGAGCTAAACTCTGCAGGAAAGTTGATCTCATGAGCCAGATTTGAGCATCCTTGAACTAAGTCATATACAGCATCCATTCATTCTCCAAATTGCTTGTCTTCGCATTACTGAAAAATTAAAAATTTCATGCATCTTACATACATTATAATGAGATCTAATAAATAATCAAAGCTACCCAGATTGTATCTGTGAAAGACTTGTAAAAGAGCTGTTCTTGGATACTGAAGATTTTCTGGAACTCAAACATTTGCTTCAGCCTGGCACCCATTTGGCCAAACTCACTGTCCTTTAGAGAGCAAGAGAACAAAATAACAAATAAAATATGAAATAAATCTTTCAAAAACCACATGTCCTCTTATGAAGTTAATCATCTCGACAACATCCGTTGCAAAACAATTTCATTTTAACAAGTTCTTGATTTTTTGGTGATTTATTTATTATGCAACTTGTTTTAGTGAATCTTACTGAACATGCAGTTCCTGAAAATGAGCTGAAAGTCAGAGATGAACACTCCTACCATCTGATACTCTCCACTTTCCAACTTCTGCTTTATTCTATCCAGCCACATCGGCTGTGTTATGAACTCAGAGTATCTGGGCACCTGGAAGTCATTTTATTTTTGTTTTTATTTATTTTAAATTTCATGTCATAGCTTTCATCACTTCTATTCCTTATTTCCTCTCTATCTTACATAAATATGCCTACATTTAAACATGGCATAATCTCCTTCTGCTCCACCTAACCACACCTTGCAGCAGGTGTAAGTGATCTCTCCTTGATCACTTACAAAAATAAAAAAATGAAGAGAAACACATACTTGCACATCACTTTAGAATGTAATTTGGGAATGCTAAGTCAGTTTCAGAATATGACTTATATGAGGTGGTAAACAGAAAACTATAAACTAGAAAAGGAATTTGTCAGGAAGGAATGAGAGAACAACAGAACAACTCCTTCCCTTAATTACACAGATACAGGGACTTTGATCTACTGTATTTGCTTCATATACACACTGACACAGAAATTAAACTGAAATGTAAACTGAAACTATTTAAACTGCTCTATTTTCATGTTGCAATTTTGTTTGTAACTGTAAATGATTAAGTGATATGCCATTCATTTTCTGAGCTTTTGCACGTTAAATAGAACCTATTATATTTATTGTTGTTACTAATGTAGATATACCCATAGATATGTATATGTAGATGCCTCATTAGCGAATGTTTCTATTGGCCATATTGTAATGGTCAACTTGACGTCATTCCAGAGATTGTCTTACTATTGGGAGATTAGAGGGTCTGTATTACATACTATTGGAGAAAGCATAATGGTCAACTTGGATCACGTGTGCCTTAATAACCAATCACATTACAGCCTTGACGTCACTGACTTTCAGTGAGTTGTGCGACACTCAATTGGCATTTAATAATAGGAATGAATGGGAAGTGCCATCAGCTGAATCCCACCTGTTGCAATATGTCATTGACTTCTTTTATAAAACACCATTTTTTCGGTTTAAACTCTAAAAATAGTTAAAACAAAAGCTATTGTTTAGATTAGCCGATAGGCTGTTGATTCAATAAATGATAAGCTATTTCCTCAAAAAAGCTGTTTATTCAGCGTAGTGAAGCCTCTCCTCCATTGCCAACAATTCAAAAAACAGCGTCTGGTCTCTTTACCTGCGCCGCAGCATTAGCTTTAGCCGTTATGCTTTTTTTGGCTAAAGGTTGCAGGCTTGCCTTCTTTGGTCATTCACCATAGTAATCAATGAATATTCAAAGATGGCACAATCCTGCACAGCCGATGGTCTGCCGAAACCATAGTATGTTGAATGATGTCAAGTTGACCGTTACAACATGCTTGGAGCGGTCGAATGGGGCATCTATTCATACCTATGGATATCCACCTTTTTCTTCAACGCGGAAGTAAGCCTATGGGCAAGACTTCCGGTTAATGAGCCGCTATAGGGAAATAACGAGAAGAATAACAACGTGCAGTAAACGTTAAAACTGTTTGCATTATAAACCAGTGTTTTCATAATTAAGACAACACATTCAAATAATATGGTTAGACACATTCAAATAATATGGTTAAACAATTTTCAATATAATGCAGCAAAACGAGTGGTTCTGTACAGCTAAAAAATAGCTGGACGCGGATGAGACTGGAAACCAGACCCATAGAATTTACAAATGGCCGCGCCCATTTTTACAGGAAGAAAAAGGTGGATACCTTACATGTATTTTTTAATTCATAACATCTTAGACCACAGTTCTATTTCTTCCTCTCATCATTATTGACCCTATCTTTGTTTAATCTCAGACCTTAGTTTTTCACTCATCATGTTTTTAATCATGTCATTACAACTTCAGTGATTTGCTCCTCCTTGACTGAGGATTGAATCTGGGGATTTTCAATAACAGCAGGAGTTAGACTGATGTATTGAGGCAGTGTGTCTTGTGACTCTTTTTCCACCAGCTTCTTCAAAGACAAATCAATTGATTGTAGGGTGTTGTTAATGGTATTAAACTGATTTTCCAGAAATTCAAATAGCTGCATCTGGCCTGTCTTCTCAGTCTCTTCAGAAGCAACAGGGTTCTGCCATTCAGCAGGTGAACCACTGAACTTTATGGTCTGATCAGGCTCCTCTATGACAGGAGATACTGCGGGTTCTGTAGCATCGGTGGGATGAGCAGGTGAATCTTGGTTTGGGGAATATAGTAAAAGATAGTGAATTAAAACATTTAATTTCATTTTGGTATCACTCACTTAAATAGGAATATTTAATGGTCATCCTATTCTAACCAACCCACTTAGTTCAACACTGATCCTTCATAGTCGAATAAAAATCAATAAATTCTAAAAAGGATAAGTCTCAGATTAAGAGAAATTAATCATGATAGAAGGAAATAACTGATCTCACTAACCTCTATCAGTCCCAGTAGATTCTATATGTTCTGTGATCGTTTTACTGACAGTTTCAGTTAAATTTATAGGTTCCCTCCTGTTCTGTGGTGAAAAGAAATTATAAGATTTAAGTAATGCTTTCTGTTTGTCTGCTAAAAGGGGATATGTGAGAAATAATGGGTGAATGTTAAAAAAAATAAATCACACATATGCATGCCCTTCAAAAGTTTGGGGTCGGTAAGTGTTTTTAAATGTTGTTGAAAGTCTTCTATGTTCAAAAAGGATAGATTTAATTGATTAACAGTACAATAATTTAATATACAGTATGTTAAAATGTAATTTATTCCTGTGATGACAGAGACTCCAGTCTTCAGTGTCACATGATCCTTCAGAAATCATTTTAATATTCTGATTTGGTGCTCAAGAAACATTTCTTCTTCTTATTATTATTATTATCAATGTTAAAAAGAGTTGTGCTGCTTTATGTTTTGTGTAAATCAGGGGTTGGCCACCTATGACACGCGTGGAAACGTTGGCACAAAGAGGGATAATCAGGCACGCGAGCAATAGGGAAAAAACTGCATACCGATGTACATTTTGAGGTAATCATTCCTCAGAATCACACAGCCTGTTAAGAGCTGTAAATACTATTAAAGTGTGAGAATTAACCTGCGCTAGTCTAGAGATGTGTGTGGCTCTGGCAAACCATTTGCGTGAATGCTGTGCATATGAAGCGTTTCAGACCAATGCTGCTTATTTTAATGTTAAAATAAACAAACTTTTAGGATTTTGAAAAGTTTAAAAAAACATGAAAGAATGCTTCAGAAATATTTAAAATTAAAAAAAGGTCTGAATGGTTGCTGACCCCTTTTGTAAACCATTTCTTTGATAAATAGAAAGTTCGAAAGAACAGCATTTATTTGAATTAGAAATAATTTGCAATATTATAAAGGTTTTTTTTCACTTATAAATTTAATTAATCCTTGCTGAAGTAAAGTATTAAAAAAATTATCTTACTGACCACAAACTTCTGAATAGCCGTGTATATTCCCTAATCCCTCATATGTCAATACTTATTTTTTAATATTCTATTACAATTTATCAGTAAGTGCATGCACATTGCTCAGTGGGTATCTCAACCCATTTTCCCTGTTACAGCTGAATCTCACCAGTTTGACTCTTTCAGCAACAGATATGGACTCATCTGAAGAACTGTCTGTATGGGGCAGAAAACATTCACTTTATTTTTTTCAGAGGAACAGGTGATAATCAATAAATGGTGTGAAAGTGAACCAGAGATCAACAATGGTGAAATTAGCAGTTGTGTGCTGTAAATATGACAACTTGCTGCATGCAGAGTGTTTGTACTTTTTGTACACAATTATTTTTGAAAAATACATGTTAAAAGCTTTGCACTCCACTGAACTTGTTAGCTTAGAAAATGTCTGGACGAATTTGCAATGCAAATGTTCACACAAACCTACCCAGCTGAATTGTTCCCTTCGGCAGGGCCAGAGTAACATAAGGGCTAGGCGGGGCTGAAGCCCCAGGGCCCGTGGATTGAGGGGGCCTGATGTGATTGGCTGTGGAGGAAAGGAAAATTAGACCTAGAATTGATTGGCCATCGGGAGCGCCCGAGCTTTTCCCGGTGTGCCGATTGCCGAAATCCCACCACAAAAATTAGACCTAGAATTGATTGGCCATCGGGAGCACCCGAGCTTTTCCCGGTGTGCCGATTGCCGCAATCCCACCACGCCCCCACATATTAGTGTCTGCGCTATTTCAGTCCAAAAGATATGAGCGATAAAAAATGTCTTTGTACTCGTTTACACTAGAGTTACGGGTATCTTCTAATCGCCTCGGCTTTACTGTAGCGCATGGGAAACAAACACTAAAAGCCAAGTGATGAAACTGCACCAAGTTACCTGAATAAACCGCACCGTGCAAAAGAACAGCTGGACCACACCGGACCGGTGTCTCCCGCCGGTGTATTGACAAAACATGCTACCTATCAGATTGTGCTACCAAAAATATATTTACATTGTTTTAAGGGTAAGTTTAAGGTAAGGGTAGGTGTGAACGGGTAGGTTTAGGGTAGGGGTAGGTATGGACATTAAAAAAGCCTCAAACCACATGAATAAGATGCTGGTAGCACAATCTGATAGGTAGCATTTTTTGCTATCGATTTGTGCTACCTATCTTTTTAATGGGAGGTAGCACAATCTGATAGGTAGCATTTTTTGCTATCGATTTGTGCTACCTATCTTTTTAATGGGAGGTAGCACAATCTGAGTGGGTAGCACAACTCGTCAGAACACCAGCACAGCGCTGACAACGACTGCAGCTCGACACTTTCGCCGCTCTATTGAAGTGATAATAAGCAGCGCTTGCCCATTTGAATTCCACACACGACACTTATATTTGAACTTCAAAAGTCTCTATGGTGAAGTTAGCGGCACACAAAAGTAGAAACACTTCAGGAGTTTCGAAGTCGTCATCGGATTGGTTGAATTATACAGGATTTCCGGGAGACGTGTGTGTCGCGTTCTATAATGTTCCGCCTGGAAACAAAGTTGCCGTGATGCCAAAACCCCTAATGAAAGAAGAAAGCCGTCATGTTTACAACTGTGACGACGAGCACTTGTCAGGATCAACTAAACGCTGGATTTTCAAAAGCATGTGAAATATTTAAAGTTCGTGGCATAGAATCTTTAAAATACGGTCTGTTATTGTGGCGACATTTCCACGTACCGAAACGTGACGTTGAAACGAAACGAACTGTAATTGGTTGTTTGACATGTCGGGCAGCCCCAGTGCTGTTCATGATGGTGAGTGGGGGTAGTGCTAGTCTCAGCTTCAGACGTCACGCCCATGGAACTTTGGCTAAACGTCTGATGCATATGGCACACAAAAGTGGAAACACTTCAGGAGATTTGAAGTCATCATCGGATTGGTTGAATTATACATGATTTCCTGGAGACATGTGTGTCGTGTTCTTTAACGTTCCGCCTGGAAACAAAGATGCCGTGATGCCAAACCCCCTGACGAAAGAAGAAAGCCGTCGTGTTTGCAATTGTGACGACGAGCGCTTATCAGGATCAACTAAACGCTGGATTTTCAAAATTATGTGAAAAATGTAAAGTTCGTGACAGAGAATCTATAAAATACGTCCGAGAGTTTTACACACCAGTCTGTTATTTTGGCGACATTTCCACGCCCTGAAATGTGACGCTGAAACGAAACAAACTGTGACTGGTTGTTTGACATGTCGGTCAAACGGCCTCATGGGCGGGCTTTGGCCAATGAAAGCTGCCATGGATTCCAGACCTTCAGCCGTCAGTCGATCGGCTAGACTAGCAGAAACCAGACTGAATAGCACTGACCATGTAAACTGAAGTGTACAGGTAAACTGTACAAAACTGTAAATAAGCAATTTAATCCACAGCACCAGACCTAGGCTATTTAACATGCATTTACTGACACTGTAGGAATATGGCTAATGATATTTATTATTAATGTCACGAAAATTGTTATAGGATACTTATAGCCTATTGAATATTGGTTCAAATAAAGGCAATAAGTCCATTTTATAAAGGTTTACTAATACTATAGTTAACTCTGGATTCAAGAATTAGCTTTTCATTAGGGCAACTACAAAGGACTAATAAACTTTAAATGCAGAAAAATATGAATTCAATAATTAAGAGCCTGCAATATAATGAAATATCAATATTGTTAAATGCATTTTAGGTATTCAAAAATATCATTTGTTTCATCCGTTATTTATTAATAAATAATTTATTCCAATTGCCCTAACCCCAGCAAAACATTTATGGGGGACTGTGTGGGCCAGATGGGCTGAATTTTAGCACCAGTCCAGCCCTGATGATTCTCCTCTTCTAGGGCCAAGAAAGAAGACCTTCTAATAATAAAACTATTTAAACTAAACTCCTTAAGGGAGCTGTATATGCTCAAAAGTTGTTGCTGCTTCTGGAAACCTGTTTGCTTTGACTTCATATATCTGGTGTTAATGTATTTATTATTTTAATGTGTTGTAACATGGAATATTTAGTGTGCATACACATTGTATCTCTGTATGTTGGAGATTTGATAAAAAAAAAAAAAAAAACCCCGAATTATTCCTGTTGTAGAAAACGTTGTGGCACCAAGATAGGCTACTATGAAGGGGGGCCCTTGGGTTTGCTATAGCCCCAGGGCCCTATGTGTTCTTAATCCAGGTCTGCCCTTCGCCACTGTGTCCTCTTCATTTCCACACACAGGTATTTCATTATTATTTCTGTGATTGTTTTCCTTACTGCCAGTGAAATCTAATGGTAGAAAAGTCCCAATTGTAATTTTTTTTAGGTTTAAATGTTTTGACTGTAAAGAAGTCATAGCCTATATATGTTCAACTGAACAAAGACCTCTTAAAGAGTTAATAAACACGCTATTTTCTTTTCTATTTACGTTTTGTATGGTTAGGTGTCTTGTCACATTTTGCTGAGATGATGAGTCTGCACCACATCTATCTGTCTGTGTCACCTATAAATAAAAAAAAACATGAACATATCTGAGTAATTCTGCATAATGATTAATCAACGGTATACTAATGTTAAAATGAAACTTTAAAAAGAAAACCAAGTACCGAATAGATTACAATCAATATTTTCATGTTTAATATGAAACACATGAATATTGTTTATGTTTTGTGGCTTGTGCGTTTGCTAATTAATTTGCAGTGGTTGAAATACCTGTCTAGATGACTTCCTCAGATATCAATACTGTGGCAGACACCTATTCTAAGATGGATAAATAACTTACATTATAATTAGATTTACTTAAATCATATGAGGACCAGTAAAATGTAGAAAAATATAAAATAAAATTCAAGCCTTACACCATCTGCACACAGTACATACCTCTATGAGTTTCTCTAATTGCACTTGTTGAAGGCCATTTGATGGCTTGTAATAGATGCTACTCTTCCACTTCTTGTTATTCCCCTTTCCTCCAAGCTCCTCAAACTGTCTGGGCGTAAACCATTTCCTGTTACATGAAATCCACTTCTCTCCTTAAGACAGAGAAACATCATAAAGAACATATGAATAGGGAGCATATAATTAAAACAGTACATGTCTTTCTAAAACTAAATTTGCATTTAAATTTCTGTCTGACAATGTGAGAAAAAATGTTCATAATCTCAAAACTTACCATTCTCATACCTTTTTTTGCATAAAAGACCAGTCATTTTTCCACAACGGACAGTCAGTTTTGTCTTATTTCTGGCCTCCTGAAAGATTTCGTCCAGGTCTAGGCATTAAAAAGGAAAGGATTCTGTAATTACAAGCTATCAGACTTGTATTGATTTTTCCCTGTTCTTCCCTTGGTTTTTTATTTATGTTTTTTAGACACATCACACCCCTTTCATACACAAGATATGTTCAAAATTTAATTCAGCATTAAATGTCAACATTTAATTCTCTGCTAAATTAACCTCAACTTCACCTTTATTTAAATAAAAATGCCAAAGATGTGCTTTAATGTAGTCTTTATATAAAAGTATTAAAAAAAAACCCTTTTATTGTCTGAAGTTTTTTTTTTTTTTTGTATATGATCCACCCATGCTTACCTGGACTGCTTTTACTTCTAGCTTTTTTCTTCTTGTTGGAATATGTTCCTTTCTCCTTTCCATCTTGTTCCCTAATCTTTCCTTTTCCTCCTTGTTTTCCTTTACTTTTTTCCATTTCACTCATCCAGTCAGATCCTGAAGAGCTGTCCAAATCCTGCTCTGAATCTATGGATGATTTACCATCCATCTCCCGTTGGTATCTAAAGCACAGTCATCATTTAGTTGTGGATATTCAGAATTGTTTGTATGATGCGAAATAGATACACACTTGTGAACAGGATGAATGATTCTTTCAGTTTACACCATTCAGGTAAATCCATGCAATCTTCCATGCATAATTAATGGAAGGAAAAGATGACCTTACCTGTAAAACACAGAAATGAACCTGGCTGCACTTCAAACTACCACTACACTAAAGAGAAACTAAATGAAACACTGCCAATCAGACTGGATTCTCTACTCTGGTGTTCCAGAAGTAACGTCTATCACAACAACACTCTGACGACACAGAAACACAACTGAAACTTGCTCCTTGGACTGTTTGTCTTTGCATAAAAGAAAAGAAACTGGAAATGAAAAAGTATTGAAATATTCAGAAAAAGAGATCGGATTAGAGCCTCTCAGACAGATGCAATACAAACATTTTGCTATATTAGCATACATGTTCACCTAACATCTGTTTTTCACCTAACCACACCTGTCTTCTTACAGTAACTCTGCATTCCTGACGAGTCACTTCAATTGTAACATCAATCCACACATAAAACTTACTTTTACAAATAATTAAATTAACATTAATATAAAACTGATACATATAATTAAATTAACACACACACACACACACACACACACAGAGAGAGAAAGACAGACACACATGTTTGTTTCTGTAAATTGTGGGGACTTTCCATAGACTTCTATTACTTTTATACTGACCAAACAATATTTTATATCCACTAACCCAACCCTAAAGCTACCCCTTACAGAAACACCTGTTTGCATTGTTACACTTTCAGATAAACATAATTGACTATTTTTAATATTTTTTTCCCCTGCAGGCCGGTCCCCACAATGTTAAAAATTTCAGGTTTTACTATCCATGTGGGGACATTTGATCCCCACAGTGTAGCATAAACAAGTACACACACACGCATACACACACACACACACACACACACACACACACACACACACACACAGTCTGGTCAGCTACACACACACACAATATATATTTAACATAAAGCAGGTAATCTGACATACCTGGCTGCTTATGTTTAAGGTAAGTGAGCGGATGAACTCAGTTTTCAGTTCCAAAAGCATCACTTTTAGGGTATTTAAGTAGCCATAGCATTTCTCTGAACATAACCTGCTCCGGAGCAGCTTCTGTTCCAGGGTTACTTCGGAGCTATCAGCGCGCGCATGCGTGACCTACTGACGAGACTTCAGTGGGAATGACAGATATTTGCACATAATACATTTACACTATTATAATAAGGTCATGTTTATTTTATTCTAATATATTCATTCTGATCTGCATTAAAACGTTTTTGCAACGGGGCGTATTTTATGATACAATATATTTCTAAAACAAAAACACGTGATATCTTACTGTACTTTACAATATGGAAGCAAAATTACATAATTTAAAAAAAATAAACATATACAGTCAAATTATCTTTGCAAGCACAAACTGTAGTGCAACTTTTGTTTGGAGAAGGACAAAGAGAATGAATTAAAACCATATTGTTAAGTAAATTAAATGTGGTTTGATTCACTTAATACAAACACAAATTATGTCACGCCACCCTTTTAAACCAGCACTTCTCCACAAGATATTTTACTTAGCTACTTAGTATGGTACATTCCTACTATTGGATAAAT